AAATTCTGAGATGCTTATTTGCTTTCCTTTATCCGATTTCTCACGTGACCATTATCGTCTCCCTGATATCTTTTTTTGTCACTGCATTCAGCTTCGCTATCAACTGCGCGCTGGAAATTACATTTGAAATGATCTCACCACAGGGAGACTCAGCTGCCTACCAGAACCTATACACGTGTTGCTTGTTGGTACTCCTGTGCTGTACCATGCTTTTCGTTCACCTAGTCTTCTCCTTGTTCTGGGAAATCATCAAAGTTGCGGTTGTAAAGAGCACTCTTATATTCCGAGAGGTTAAGGTGGTGATTTTTCTCGCCATCTTTGTGGGTTCAGGTATTTACGCGGGCTGTGCCGGGAACAGTTTTGGTATTATGACATTGCTTGGCAGTTGCCTCGCAGTGTGCTGGTTCGCAGCTTTTATCGTAGCAGTACTGGGCTCGGTTGGCTTGCTCGTGTTCTGTTACCGTGAAGAAAGCCACGAAGCGTACGCTATTGTTCTTCTTCCACTGTGTATACCACTTGTTCTGTTTTCAATTCTTTGCCCTGTTTCCTTTACTCTCGTTAATGCATCAACAGGCGCGGTATGTTTCGCATTTTTCTACCCATTCTTAACAGCTTGCCTTATATTATACATCTGTTTCCGCGGCTCTAGAAAACCGAATGGAGAACAATTTGTCATTAAGAGACGTTTTGCTGTATTCTTCACCGCTGCCTACCTCGCTGTGCTGATTCTAACGGTTACATCTCGCGCGTATAGCGAAAACAGTTGCAATTTACCATCAGTGAATCACTCTAACGCGAAAAATTTCTCCATCAGTGAAAAAAATCAGCCAAAGTATCCGATCTGCGATAAAACATGGACCCCGTTACGTCTGAACGTGGCAGAAATGGCATACCTCTCGTTCGTCGCCTACCAGACAAACTGGAACAAGCAGGATCTAAGTAAGTCAATTAGGAGCTATTTCCACTATCGAAAAGGTCAATGGAATGTTAGTTACATCTCAGAGGGAAATCCCAGGTATTATCATTTGTTCGAGGCGACAAGGCAAGTTCATATCATCGGCATCCGAGGAAGTGTATCCGCGGGAGAATGGTTCGAATATCTCAAGTTATGGAGTGAAGTAATTAGTTACCAGCTCACCTCTGAAGCCCTCCCAGTGCAAAGGTTCCCACTGAGTTTCGTGACGTCCTACGTGTCTGCTTCGTCTTTTCTGGAAAGGATTCTCCATCATAACCGTCCAGATTATTCTCTTAAGTCAATCGAGACGTACATCAAGAAGACGAATCTAAACTCCAAAGGTGATAACATTATTCTCACTGGCCATTCACTTGGTGGTGGCTTAGCAAAGATTATAGGGAGCCGTCAGAAGATTCAAGCGGTGTCTTTTTCAAGCCCCGGTGAGGTGTGCATCAGTAAAAAAATGGGTTTCAGTCTTGAGGACTTGCAGCGTTACACTACATCCGTAGTATCACGCAATGATTTGGTCACGTGGGTTGACCACCACGGTGGTTTGGTCCAGTTTATCGGTCGTAAGGCGAGTCAGCATGACCAGTGTCACGCTGTTAACATTTACTGTGAACTGAAGAGAAGTTGTAGTTTTCAAACTCCCATTACTTGCTAAACTTATTGGAAAAAAATGAGTCAAAAACGCCACCTCTCTTCCGGTTAATTTAAATCTTCCCCCCCCCCGGAAAGTATGATGCCTTGAGCAGCGCAAGCCGGCGAGAGGTCTGCAAGGGGTCTGGCACTGAATTCCAGGACCCGGTAAACCTCTCTCCGACTCGTCTCATATCTTCTCGCGGGCGGAAAGATGAGCGTCCTCCAGTGCTATTGATTCGTCCGCACAGCTGTAAAGAGGGGAACAATTTCCTACTGGTGTTTTCCAGACATATCAATTTTTTTTAGCAGAATATGAAAGACAGGACGCAAATCTGACCCTATTTGGCGGCCATAGGATTTAAGGAAGCGACTAAAAGAGCTTGTACCTAAACAGTTTATTTAACAAATAGATTCCAAGTTGACGTGCGTCTGTTCAGTAATAGATCACAGATGACGTCAAAATGTGGTAAGAACAAAAAAATGGCACATGAGGCGCAGCCGAGTGTGTCACTGATGTTCTTACCACATTTTGACGTCCTCTGTGATCTATTACTGAACAGACGCACGGCAACTTGGAATCTATTTGTTTTATATAATAAAGAATTCAAAAAAGTTTTAATGATGACGTCATCTATACGTCTGTCCTCCAATAGATCATAAGTGAGAACCAATCAAAACGCGTGCATAACTGAGCTTATTATATAATTTCTGGTAGATAACAACAAGTACGTTGGCAAACAGTAACTGTTATCAACAGTAAATCTGAAATAATTTGGTGGTTTTTGGGTAGATTTCACCTAGTTTCTCTCCTTGGACGCATAACCTACGGCTTTGGTTTAGTTTTTTCGGATCACTTATCCTGATATTTAAAGCTGACATACGCGCGAAGGAGAGAGGCTTAGTTGAGCTCTGTAGAATAACCAGATTTTTACTGACATTGCACTGTCAAGGGGGAGCGCAGTATACATATTTTCACCACTCTTCTTTACACAATTTCTGAGAAGAAGAATCTGTTCGACAATCAAGAGCTTCTTAAATTTGTGATCATTTTCCTTATTCACGTGACCTTAATGTGTGATTCAGGGTTGATATGGTAAGGAGAAATTAGATGCTAGTCACTCTTAAAGGTCAAAGGGCTTAGTATATTTAAATGATAATCGAGAGATTTCAGAAGGCATACTTTTATTAGCAAAGATCAATAAGTTCATTGTATTACATTGACACATGTACCGTCTCACTCAGAACAGCGAGTAATTTATGTATTTAAAAACGGAAACTAGCATCAAAATTTGGAAGACTCCTAAAAAAACGAGACCAGAATTGGGACATGATAAATCTAACAAAATTTGTATCGACTGGCACATCAGAATATTCGGCAGGTGATCCGCTGAAAAATATAATTTTCTCTCAAAACAAGCTGCTAAAGGAAAAGAGATGTCTTTAAAAGAAACTTTTCTCCTCGTTCCTCGAGTCCTGGTTCGATCGCAAGACAAGAAACTTTGATTGGTTTTGAACATACTTCCATCGCTGGTATTCTAACATTAACCACAAAACTGACAGTACTTCTTGTAACTACACTTGTGCACTTCAAAAAGATTTACAAAGCGTTTAAAACTTCCTGTCAGAAATTACCAAGATTCAGTTCTCGACCGTTGTCAAGGGGACCCAGCGCATGGGGAAGGAGCTCATGCACTTAAAAAAATTACCTAGAGATTGAACTGCGCAGAACTGCGCATTTCCAGTCTCAAAGACACTTAAGTTTTCATCTGACACTATCGGAATTCGAACATAGAACAAATCGGTTACAAAATATTTCATAATAGTTGATGAGGAATATTAACTACACTGTGACCCTTGATATATTTCTTTCGCTAAACTCAAGCATTTCTTATTCGACTTTTCTTTGAATTATTACAAATACTTCGACGGCTGAAATGAATTCCATATGGAACAAAAAAGAAGCAAAATATTTGCTTTTAAATGAGCAGATGGAAATTTTAATCTACAAATTCGTAAACGCCTGATCTACAGGGGTTTACATAAGCCTCGTTCCCAGATCCTTTCTTCGCCTGTTTACCGACAGGAAGTGAGAAAGAACTTAAAAAAGACCATCACTGCAGACCAGCTGCTTCGGTTCAGTCGCCATTGTTGTTTACAGCCGGCTTGTCGGCCCCACCGAGTTGAAGGTTTTTCATTCGGTTGATGGCTGTTGCGGCATTAAACGCTTGCTGTGAATAAAGAGAAACTACCATTATCACGAAAATAGTTGGTGAACTGGTCAGCTGAGGAGCCAGGCGACTCAACCAGTAAGAGCCCATCTCACTCTCTGGAGTATGAATTGACTAGGAATATTGTCACTCCCCCCTTGGGATGTCAGTCCATCGGAGGTGACCCCCACCCCCACCCCCCACTTCTTTTTGCAGATAACTGAGACATGTATGTAACAATTTCTTTAATCTCTCGCCTTCCCCTTTTACAGATTCAAAACAATTGCAGCCCACGTGGATCCATTCTTCGTCGAAATATAAAACACTAGTCTCGTACCCAGACCTCCCAGCCAAGAGGTGGAAAGATCTGGGTTCATCAGTTCAGTGACAGTTACACGGTAGGATCTGGGTACGAGATTAATATAATACATACACGCATCAATTCAGGTTTGTTTTATTATTGGTAAGGATTTCATCCATGAAGATTACCTTCCACTTAGCCTTGTAGAAGTTTTTCTTTATTTGTTCACTAACTGATGCATGGATGTCACGATCAAGAGCCTCTCCACCGGAAATCCTATCAAATACAATGAGAAATTATAAGGAAACACTACTAAGCTGGATAATTTGGTTTTTCATCAACCAAGTTGGTAATGTAAATTGACCACCGTAAAGAGTATCAAAGCTGAAGTTTCGAGCGTTAGCTCTTCGTCAGCGCGAATGGCTGAGCTGGCTCCGACAACGACCAAGATGAAACGAATCCTGTGATCTGATTGGCTACACGAGCGGGCAACATGGGTACTGGAATCCCCGCTTTAATCCTGCGCAACAAGACATCGAATGCGGCAGATGTATATTTTCCTATTTCTCAGTTAGATAAGATGAGCCTTCTAGCAGCTCTAACAATAATTGGATCAATATCAGTATCTGGGCAACTGCCCACCTACCCTTCCCCTAACCCAACATTAACCTTGACTTGTTGTCAATTGACTGTTGTTGAGTTAGGGGAGGGGTAGGTGGGCAGTTGCCCAGATACTGATATTGAATAATATCCCAATAATTTATGGTAAAACATCTTGTACCCGGCATGTCACAAGTTAAACAAAGAACACGGTGAATATGAGAGCGACCTTCTCAGTAATGAACACCACTTAAGCAACAGTGAGAATAAGGCCTGAAAAATGCCGGAAGAACACCAGGCTTTTTTCTGTAAATATATGTATTTTCGATACCTTGCCTTCATTTACCAACCAGGCGTGTTCGTATATTATTTAAAAAAAAACAACAACAAAATGCAATAAACCTAATATTGGTGAACTGTACGTACCAAGGATGATTTAGAGCCTGCTTGCATGTAAACCGCTTCTTGGGGTCAACTTGTAGTAAACGCTCAATAAAATTCTTAGCTGAAAGGTAATTCAAGCAAAAAACATTAACCCTTTAAACCCTAACATCAGTATGCATATTCTCCATACTGTTCTATATGCATTTCCTAAGATGCTGTCAAGGAGAATTTGTTTACCAATCAAAAGCTTGTTTCGTTGGTGATCATTTCCTTTGTTCTCATGACCTTAACGTGTGATTCAGGGGTGATGTTGTTAGGGAGAAATTTGATGCTGATCACTCTTAAGGTTTAGAGCGTTAAACTGGCGTTAACTACAAAAGTCGTCTCATTCACCCATCTTAAATGTCTGTTGCGACAACAAGAGATGCACTAAGAAAAAAAAACTTAACTTCATACCTGAATCTGAAATGTCATCCCTGGGAAATAGAATGATATCAGAAGTCCGTTAGAAGAATGATCGACACATTATTAGTATAGTTCAAAACGTACATGTGTAGCGACATCCCAGAAAATAAGATTAATTTCTGACGGCATTCCTAAAAGGATCATAATAATACCAGGACCGGAAGTAGTTTGGATTCAAGACAGGGGACTAGGTGCAACAATGGACGCAGAGGTATTTCCGGTTCTTTATTGTCTCAACCGGAAATAGATTTAGTCTTTCCAGTGAAGGGTGTGATCTCTTAAGGGCAAAGAATACGAAATGATGGACTATATACGAACGCCAAAGAAAATGAAATAGAATTTAATAACGGCTTGTGTTCGTTTATTTATTGTAGCTGCTGTTATTGTTGTGATTGTTGTTTTTAAAAAAAAAAAAAAAAAAACATCAACTAAAACAAATCTAGTTATTTCGTCTTGGGGACTGGGTTTGAGTGATGAGAGTTTTACGCGTGAAGTATGCTGGGAGTAAAACAAAAGTCCAAGCACGTGGAAGAAACAGCGAAATAAAATAATTTGCCATAATATGGCAATTCCTTAGCTCTTTTGATGCAGTTGAGGTGAGAAAATTCTTAATGGCCATTTTCAGTCGAGCTGTTCTGTTACTTGAAAGTTCCTAAGCTGGGAAAATTGTTTGCAATATGCGAGGCGAACAAATTCCCCGGAAAAGGCACACCAGTCAATGCCCAAGGAACAGGTAGCTTGGGATCGAGATCCTTTCAAACCCTTTTCGTAGTAAAATAGATAAATATTTATTTTTACGTTCGTGTAAATTCGAAAAGTTCGAAGGAGCGGTAGATTAATTTAATCTCAGCTTTACATTTGGTTTTCCCTCAGTATTAATTCTTTAATACAGATTACCATGCCCTTCACTGACAAAGGAACGCAATATGCGAGGTGAAAAAATTCCCCGGAAAAGGCACATCAGTCAATGCCCAAGGAACAGGTAGCTTAGGATCGAGATCCTTTAAAACCCTTTCGTGGTAAAATAGATAAATATTTATTTTTACGTTCATGCAAATTCGAAAAGTTCGAAGGAGCGGTAGATTAATTTAATCTCAGCTTTACATTTGGTTTTCCCTCAGTATTAATTCTTTAATACAGATTACCATGCCCTGCACTGACAAAGGAACGCAAACTTTGAACATGGAAAGATAAATAACATGTAATTTTTGATCCAAAAATTGTTGTGTTTTCGTTTCTGTTATTCTATTTTCTAATGCTTACCAGTATGGTGTATCAAATTCATACTCTCCTTTCATGATCTGTGCAAAGAGGTTTGCATCACTTTCATCATAGAATGGAGGATAACCACAAAGTCTGCAAACATTACATAAGTTGTCTTGTTGGATAAGTTTGCTCCAAATTTAAGCATATCTTTCTTTGAAAATAAATAAGTTGATGGTAAAATCTGCACTCAAACCCGAGGCCTTAGTACCTGATCTGACTTTCTGTGGCATGAATATTACCCTTCCCCCTAAGGGATGGTAATCCACTGCAAGGGACATTGCCAGGTTTCCCAGACAACTTACCAGTATAAAGGTGGACAGGGGAAGGGGTGGTTTCTGTAAGGCAGATACAGTAGCTGGAACCCAGACTTCTCAGCCTGGATTCGAGAGTGCTGATAAAAAGACCATCTCCTTAAAAAAAATAATCATCATTATAACTTACAATAATAATAAAATGAACTTACAAAATATAGCAAATTACTCCAACAGCCCAACAATCTACTGCTTTTCCATAAGGTTTCTGTTTGAGAACTTCAGGGGCTAAAAGAAAAAAGATGAACTCCAACTAAATCTGAAATCAAGTACACTTACACTCCAGTCTTAATATTTTTCACATTTACAAACAAAAATATGTGTAGAAAGTTGAAAGGAACCCATGAAATATATCAGGAACACACTTCAAAACCCTTCCGCCTTAAAACTATCAAGCAGAGAACAGAAAGCATTTAAATTTAATATCCCATTGCAGTAGCCCAGGTGTTAGACTCACTGCCATGCTTCTTGGGTTTTCAAGGGAAGGATATTATAAATCAGTTGTTTTTGGGGTGGGATCTGTAACGCGATTTTTAAAAGGCTCAGAAGTGGACAAGACTGAGCAAGAATTTTTTCCACTATGGATAACTTAACACTGTTCTCCTCAGCGATGGGTCCTTTCCAGATCTGACAACAGTAAGGTTACACTTTGTTTCAATGTTGCTTTCCTTAATCAAAATTACTTGATGGAAAACAGTAGGGATTCATTCAAGATTCAAAACGTGAAAAAACAAATCCTTTGGATTTTGCAGTCTGTTAATGAGATTTTTATGGTCATTGGAAAGTCCTAAAATGCAAAGTCCATCAAAATCAAAAGACCCCTAAAAATTTTCACAACATAGATGCCCAAGGAAGACTGGCAGTATAGCAGTCCAAATTTTGCAACCAATCCATGGTTGATTATTCTAACTCTTGCATCATGAGACAAATAATTAAACTTTCTCTTATCTTTAAAACCACAATAAACAAAAACTTCTTCTACAACAACATAGTAATTGTTTCAAACTTCATGCACCTACCAACATATCCTGGGGTTCCACAGGCAGTTGCCATCATGCTATCATCTTCTTCTGTCTTGGACAGGCCAAAATCACTGATCATTATTTTAGAGTCATCATCAGGACTGTAGGATAGACAAAACAATCCATGTGAACTTGCATGCAACAAACTTAGCGCAAATCATAAAGTTGTTTTAGTGAGCTGAAAAGAAAGTATTCAGCAAACACAAGACCGATATTACAGAAATAATCAAATTAGCAAAAAAACCTATGAATAACTTCAGTCAATTAATTAAATGTTTGGTTTAGGGTATTAAAGCTTACCTGTAGTAAAGAAGATTTTCAGGCTGCAATTGAAAAACAATTTTGAAATTTAACAAGAGCAACAGTTCTTCATTGAGAATGTAAATTGATGACCCCCCAACCTCCCTAAAAATATTATAAATTAATACCACTTCTTGTAACATTGCTGTTATTTCATTTGCTTTTTGTTCATTAATGTACTTATCCCTACACAGAGGCTTCCTTGCAAAGGCCGTACATTTTCAGTAACAACCTCAAGAAGTTGGAATCACCTCCCCCTTAAGTTACGCACTTCTTAATCTGTAAATAATTTGAAAAATGCTTTGTATAAACATTTTAAATTAAGTCAGCATAGGGATAAGATTTTTATTCCTCTTTTAGATTGAAGAAATGTAAAATGGTTTCCGTGTTTACATAGCCTGATGTAAACACGCGGGAGGTTGGGAGAACACGAGATAAGCGTAGGAAACCATGACGCGAAGCAGAGTGGTTTCCAGCTTATCGAGTTACATTTCTACATTTCTTTTATAAAATAACTAATGAAAGAGGAACCAAAACTATGTTTACATACGCTCATGTAAAATGGTTTTATGGCCAATCAGAGCACGCATACTATTGAAAATAATTTTATAAAATTTATTTGTAGATCGCATGATATGAGCAATATGTTTTATGTTTAAATTTTTTTGTCTTAATTTGTAGTACATTGTGATTTTTAATTAGGTTTTAATTCATTCTTAATTAGGTTATTAATTATATATAAAAGGGTTTTTTTTTTTAAAATTGTAACAATGTTTATAGAGGGCCACAAGTTCATTAGTTTTTAACTACTGAGTGTCACCCTCTTTAACCCTTTAAATCCCAGAAGTGATTAACATATAAATTCTCCCCATAGTATCCTTACATTATCCAGCAAACAGGTTGTGAGATTACTCAAACTTATCAGGTAACAAGATATTATCTAGATTTAACACCAAATTCTTGTGACCAATTTACAATGAAATGTGTAGCAGCTGAAGAAGAGAATTAACAATAAGATCTTGGGAGTTTTATAGATGGTTAAATAAAGTTTGATTGATTGATTGATTGATAGAATAATGTGCAAGGTCATGTTTGAAGTGTTGGTATTTTTGTAAACAATAACAATTACTAGGTATTGTTGATGAGTGAGTGTAGTCTTGGCAAATGAATGGTACTTCATCTTTACACCAGAAAATGTTCCATGAATAACATTCCTTCTAAAAATAGTGTTCATCTTTAAGGTCTGAAAATATCCATTTAATTTGAGCCCATACAACCAGAAATTTGACCAGTTTCCATAGCATGAAGCCCCTAGCAGTATTCATAATGCCAAGGCTAGTGATAAGAAGCATCACACAAACAACAACCTTGTTTAAAAAGTTTTACCTTATGTCTACTAGTCATGTTCTTAATTTCCTTAAGTATGAAATTGCAAAGAACTCAATTAGATTCCAAAACTTTCCAACCCAAAGGGAAGCCTACTGCTTTCATTTGAATTGAGAAAAAAAGTTCCATCAATGTTTAAACCTTGCCTTTGGTGAAAAAGCTAATTCAGTGAAAAACAAACAAGAAAAGGAAAAACTTAATTAATTTAACCAAGCTAATATAAACTCAGCTTGAATGTTAGCTCTTAAATAAAAAAAACCACCACCTACTGTTTAGCACAATAACAATGATGCATCTCATTTAGTTTGTAAGCAGCATGATACTTTTGTGATATACAAATGTTTCAGGCTCCAGAACTACTGTGTAAGCTTAATCTAATTTGGTAAATCTTCTTTAACCATAGAGGTAATGCAGTTATGAAACTCTTGTTGATGTTTCCATGTAAGCAAGCAAATGCAGTTTGTGAGACAGTTAAAAAAAACAAAACAAAACAAGGAAGAAAAAACAAAAAATGAAAACATTGTGGAGATTGAGAGAATCTTCACTGACAATAGTTGTGGTTAAAAAATTTCTGATACACCATCTGTAACACAAATAATGTGGCAACAAAAGAATTTGGAAATACTGAATATATTGGCCAACTCTCTTAGATTATATGAAAGTCTCTTTAGAATATCCGAGCACTCCAATTCCCAAAAATACAAAAAAAAAATTGTAATGGTGTCCAGATTTAATAATTCCAGAGGTTGTAACCCCTGTTATGATCCTCAGTCAATTCTCCAACATAGCATCTGGGACGTGCAGGTTGAATTATATTATTGTAGTTGTCAGGTTTAATCCTTGTTGTGAGGGTTGGTAACCCTTAAATACACCTTAGTATGCAAATTCTCCATACTGTTCTCTGTACATTTCCAAAGGCATTGTCTTAGAGAATTTGTTTAACAATCAAGGGCTTCTTTAGCTAGTGATTAAATCCTTTATTTTTGTGACCTTCATGTGTGATTCAGGGGTGATATTTTAAGGAGAAATTAGATGCTAGTCACTCTTTTGGGGTCAAAAGGTTATCTGATTTGCCCTGTTTTCCTTCCTCCACAGATAAAGCACACTCAATCTATAATTACATGTTATTTCCAAAAGGAGAAACATTCTCTGAACATGTCAGTGCTAAATCATATTCATTGTTTACTGATATCAGCTCATTTCATATCTTTTTAAACCCATTACACCCTAACATCAGTATGCATATTCTCCATACTGTTC